TACAGCTTGGAGTAAGACAACATGCATGAAGAGGATGATGTGGACAAAATACTCATTTGCCTAATAATTTTGCACTCCCTGTATATCACTGTGGTGGATTTGTGTTTATAGCACCATGCCTAATTCTGCTACGCAATTTCAGAAAAATGGCTTACATAGTCAATCAAAAAATTTTTTAAATGCTTTTAAAACAGTGTTAAAACTTTTAATTTTGCACTCCAAGCATTCCGTAATCAGCCTGACTCTTTCAGGTGCCAGTATCCAAATAAAACTCCTCCTGGCAACTCAATTGCGTGGCTTTACGTGCCGGTGTGAATTAGTTTAGATTGCAGCCGTACACCATTGCTAAATGTAAGCCTCAAAGCCATTTGCTCACCTAAAACCAATCGACAGCGGCTACATTTACAAGAACTGTTTGATTAGTTCTTGAATTTATTTCCATTCATCTGCATATTTTAGGGAAAAAGCTCATCAAAGGTTTTGCTCTTGAGAAGCCACGATGAGCGATTTAAATGCTGAAAAACAGCATTAGGCTGATGGCGTGCTATAAAGGTGGTCTTCTCCCCGTTGTGTTTGTGTTGAGAATTAGATGTAGAGCTTATTAAAATGTTACCAAATATGTGGTAAAGGACAATTAAGTGGTTTTTTTATTTTTTTTTTATTTAGCTGTCTGTTTCTTTTTTTTGGGGGGGGGGTTGTTTTGTTTTTTTCTAAGCAGTTTTTAAGCATTGAGTCATTGACATGTGACCGATTTGGGTGTAACACTGTTGTATATAAGTAGACCATATTCTTGATTTGGCACTACTTGTTTATCCACTTTATGCGTCTCTTTTGCAGCGTTCTCTGGAATTAAAGCCTGCAAAAAAATTCTTGCTTGATGTAAGCAAATGAAAACGGTGATTGGTGGTTTTTCAAAAACACAATCAAATGTTTGGAGTAAAATTTGCACAGGAGAAAAAAGATAAACCACATACATGTTTTATTATTTAGTCGGATATCCATACTGTACAAGCAGAAATTATAGAGAGTAGTATTATATCATATACCCGGTATTATTGGCCTTTTTTTAATATGTTTTATGTTTTTGGGGGTTTTTTTAGCCAGGTGAATCTGGAGACACGCCTTACCACCCTAGAGAAACCACCAACATGAGAACACAGACAGTGGCCTCCTACTTCAGAGTAAGATTTGAACATTTTTTAAAATTATTTTATTTTATTTGCTTGGATCAGTTATTTGGGAGGTTTTTAGAGAGAGCCACAAATTAACAAACAAATACAGTTGTACTCAGTAGTTCACATCCACTCATCATGAGCATGATTTCAATGTAATTTTGAGCTTTTAATAATTTCTTTTGAGTGTTTTGTTTCCAGGGTGGAATGATTGTACAGCAAAGATCTTAAAGATTTATGCATTTATTTTGAATTTTCTACACAGGGTCAGAATTATAAATACAAACATAGAAATGATACATACAACCTCAGATATATAGATACTCTTTTAGGGCCGGGGCTGGATAACCACCATCTACCATTATAGAATTGTACCATAAATTTCTAGCTGGTTTTCTTTGAGTGCCTTCTCTCACCAGAGACATTATAACTACCATATATTTGCCACAACTACCCCTAATCTTCTTCTTCTGCTCCTTCTAGTACTCTTTGATGGACCTTCTGTCCAAGATGGTGGCAGGTCAGCCTCACTTTGTGCGCTGCATCAAGCCCAACAACGATCGCCATGCCAACAAGTTTGACCGTGAAAAGGTTCTGGTCCAGCTTCGATACACTGGTGTTCTGGAGACTGCCAAGATCAGACGCCAGGGTTACTCTCACCGCATCCTGTTTGCCAACTTCATTAAGAGGTCAGTGGTGAAAAGCAGAGCTTATGAAGTGATTACAAAATCAGCGTGTAGAACCTTGATATTAGTGTCCAGATAATTACATTGATTGCTGCAGGTACTACTTATTGGCTTACCATGCTAACGAGGAGCCCGCTGCAACCCCAGAAACATGTGCTGCAATACTGGAGAAGGCCAAGCTGGAAAACTGGGCTATGGGAAAGACAAAGGTAAGGAGAGATTTAATTTGGTGTTTACTGTTGTTTGTCACTGTTTGGTTAAGTTGAGGCAAGAAATTAAAAGAAATTTTCCACCTTTTTATTGTTGCATCCCTTCATGATCCAGCAGGAATCTCAAACATACGGAACAAACATCCAAATGTAGCACATTGAGCTCAGAGTTGTGCAGATATTTTTGAGTCTCCTTTGCCAGAGGCCAATTTAAAACTTCAATACTAAATAAAACTTTTTTCCACACATTATGGTCATGAATAGATTCAAATCAAGTTAATAAAGGACTCCAGATGAAGGCTCATACACCCAAACCATTTAGGTTAAACAAGGCATGAAAATAAAAGAATGTGCTTCTGATTTTTTATTTTTTTATTTTAAATCTATAACCAAAGAGCATTTCAAAGATCATCATCATCTAATTTCATAGATTTGAGTGAACAACAGTGATTATCCCACAACTGTAAAAGGCTGATGGGGTGTGGTCGTCACCCTGCCAAGCGGTCAGGTGGTTGGGTGGCATGGACCCTCAAGTTTCTGTATTAAAATAGCTCGAGAACAAAGCAACATAAGATTTTGAAATTTATACCATAGATGTATCCACTAAAAACGTTGGAAAATGTTGAATCTCAGTGACCTCTTTCTCAAGGTTATGGTCAAAGGTCAGGTTTTCATCCAGTATGGACAGCTCCTGAAAATCTTGGAGTTTGAATCCTGATGACGTGATCTCAAGGTCAGAGGTCAGATTTTCAAATTTATACCTTAGGTCCATTAACTAGGAGGCTAAGGGGTAGCACTGACAGCTGCCAGTATTTTTATTCTGATTACCTAGGGTTAGGGTAAATATTAATACAAACTGAAGCCAGTTTAGTGAAGGCTCAATTCTTTGTATTGCTTTATCTTCTGCTGCTTTATGGATTAGCATTTATTTATTACTTTTCTAATCTTGATAACAACTTAAAACACTTTGCACTATGAGACTCATATGCATTCATATTGCACTGACGCGCACATGCAAATGCCACATACAAAGGTACCTTAAATTGTTGAACCCAGAAATCTCCTGCTGTGAAAGAACAATAACTTCTGCACTGTCGTGCCTGAAAAGGGAATCCAACATTGCTTGCGTGATTCTGCATTTGAGGCTAAACCTACAGTGTTATGTTTGTATTTCAATAACTAACAGTTGTTTTTATCCCTCTGGGCTTAGGTGTTTCTCAAGTATTACCACGTTGAACATCTGAATCTGATGGTACAGCAGACAACACAGCGAATCATCCTGGTCCAGGCTTGTGTTCGAGGCTGGCTTGGAGCCAAGCGGTACCGGCGGATATTAAAAGAGCGAGAACAAAGTGCCCTGGTGCTGCAGTCAGGTTAGTAAACTGTGCACGCTGGTTGTGTACCACAATGTCAACAAGTTATAGAGGAGGCATAATTTATTTTATTTTTTTTGTGCTGCAGCATACAGAGGCCATCAAGCTCGGAAGAGGGTAGCTGATGAGAAAAGCAAAGCAAAGTTGGAGGCCTTCATCATCCAGTTTCAAGCTGGTAGGAGTCTGATATTAAATTAGTTACATTATCTATATGTGGTGCGTATTATATTGGCTTACCCTTATTCCATTTTCTTCTTCAGTTTGCCGAGGCTATCTCGCAAAAAAGAGGTACAAAGAGATGGTAGATGAGAAGAATAAAGCGGCAACCAAGATTCAGGCTCGCTACAGAGGGCATAAAGAAAGGAAGAGCTTTAAAAGAAAGCTGTAAGAGAGATGGAAGCTATGCACAAAGCAGCAGTGAAATTTCTTTTTTTCTTTTCTTCTTTTTAACATAAATGTGTCTATTTTGCTTCCAGGGAAGCCAGAGAGAAAGAGAAAGCAGAGACTGCTTCGAAAGAAAATGAGGAACAGATAGCAAAACCAGAAAATGATGCAGAGAACGAGGAGGAGGAAACTAAAGCTGCAGTGGTTCTTCAAAGCAACTATAGGGGCTACAAAGAGAGAAAAAAGTTTAAGGAGAGAAAAAAGACGATGGCTGGAGCAGAGCTGGAATTGCCAAATGCAACAGCGGAAGAGGGACAGGAAAAAGATGTGCAAGAGTTGGCTAACAAAGAAGGAGTAGGTGAAAAGTCAGCTGATAAACAAGAGGAGAATGAGGAAGATGAAGAAAGTACTTATGAAGCAGAGGAGAATGATGACAGTGATAATACTCAGGTGCCAGAAGATGAGCACACAGAAGTGGCAGAGGAAGCAGTGATTCAGGATGCTGAGCCTAAAAAAGAAGAGCAGGAGGATGGTGGACAGAAAAAAACTGCAGGTGAGGAAGCTGCTGATTTAGAAGAGGAAACCAAGGCGGCCACTGTTCTCCAGAGTAACTTCAGGGGCTACAAAGAGCGGAAGAAACTAGAGGAAGAAGGCAAAATCCCAGCTAAGAAACAGAAAGCAAAAAGTCCTGCAGGGGACGAAGTGCTGGAAAAGGAACCAGGTAGTGACGAGGCAGAAAAAGAAGCCTCGACAACAGCTGAAAATGCAGATGAGACCAAAGCGGCTGTAGTGCTTCAGAGCAATTTCAGAGGCCACAAGGAGCGCAAACGACTCGAAGAGGAGGGAAAGCTCCCCAAGAAAAGGCAGAAGGAGAAAGATGTTCCATCAGAGCCTCCAAAGGAGGAAGAGACAGAGGAATCTCTTCCAGAACCCCAGGAGAACACTTCTAGTGAGAACCGAGAAGGGCTGGATGAAGAGAAAGCAGCTACTGTCATCCAGAGTAACTTCCGAGGCCACCGGGACCGAAAGAAAATGAAAGCTGACAGGGAAGCGCAATTGAAAGCTAAGGAGGAATCTGGGACTCCCACTGATGCAGAACAGGAGGAGGCTGTGGACATCACTGATGTGGTAATTGAACGTAAAGATGAGACAGACGTTGAAAACCAAAGACTGGAGGAAGAACACGCTGCAGTGAAGATCCAGAGTAACTTCAGAGGGTACAAGGACAGGAAGAACCTGAAGGCCAACAAGGAAGCTGCACAGAAAGAGACAAGAAGGCTGGAGAGCTTCTCCAGACAGGTTATAGCCTCAAACAGATTTTATTGAAAACTCACTATCTTGTCATTTTCTTTCCAGTCTTATATCCTTTTTCCTTCTAATCTCTCCAACAGATCGCAAAGACGTCTGAGGACTTTCTGACTCTGCAGCAGAAGCTGAATGAGATCATCCAGGCCCATCAATCAGACCCTGAGAACAATGGCATGTTGTTTGTGAGAGGAAACGCAATCAATGGTAGCTTCACTCCCCAGCGTCGCCATTCAAGTAAGATAAGTGAGGTTGGCTAGGTGAAAAACAGATTATAAAGCAATAAAAACAATTCATAATGCTGTCATGGATTGACCCAAAGTTAATTTGAAGTTCTGGTTCAGCTTTTGATGCACTGGACCTTTAGATAATTAAGAAAGACAGTCTGTCCATTCTCACTGTCTTCTCGGCTTCTCTAGTCTTTTTCAGTCTGCTGAACTGAAGATAATGGATATGGTGCCCAACTGCGCTCAGAACCATTGACCGAAAGTTGTCAAATGCGACTGAGCTATTAGTTCTATTCAAACTGACTGAAAACAACAATCTGGGCCAAGAGTGGGCGCTCATTTTCAAGGATAATAAATTCCAGCTATTTTCTCCCTGTTCTTTAATTTTGATCGATAAAAAACAAAACAAAAAAAACAAGGAGATTGCAATTTTATTGCTGACTTCTGGTAGATGACCATGTTACTGATTAGGTATGCACCGATACCACTTTTTTGGAAAATGAGTACGAGTATGAGTACTTGCATTTCAGTACTCGCCGATACCGATACCGAGTACTTACTCATTGACAAATGCCAGCCATTTGACTTTCTGGTAGTAATAAGGGAAATGTATTTCATATTATATATATTGCATACATTTGTATTTGTGTAATTTAGTTACAAATATATAATATTTCAGATGTAAAATAATCTTACATTTAGTACTGTAGTTTATCATTGAATACCTATAGCACACAGACTTTACCTTGGGTCAAGTATGGTGGAGATGAAGTACAGTGGGTTGGTCTCGACGTCACTGAAGTGCTTTTTGACAGCTGCCTGTAAGGTTGCTTTCATTGTCTTGACACCGTGGTCCTCGTCTGTTTCTCTGTTTAGAAGTCTCACTAGCACAGTCACAGCTGGGATGACATCAGAGGCTAGTGCGTCGTAGCTGCTCACTTTTTTTAGTTAGTTCCTCAAAGGGGGCGAGGATGGCAACAGTTGTCTCCATAAGAGCCCACTGGTGAGCGGTGAGATAGTCAGGGAGTTCATGCTCGGACACATACACCTCCAGCACTCACTTTTGCTCAATGAGGGACTGGAGCATGTAATACGTGCTGTTCCAGCGCGTCTGTACGTCCTGCTGCAGTCTCTTTATAGACTGGTTGAGCTGTCCCTGAATGTCCTCGAGGCGGGAGTAGGTTAAGGCGGAATGTTTAAAATGCCCAACTATTTTCCGTCCCACTGCTCCGTCCCATCCCAAACAGAGGAGCACAGCTATGCTCCTCTGTGCTAATAAGCGTGGGTAAATAAGCGTGGGTAAACTCTTTGTACTTGTTGTTGTGTTGGGATTTTAGGTGCTTGATTAAATTACTTGTGTTAAATGCGCTACCTTTTGAGTCTCCTCTGGACAATTTCGCTGAGCACAATTTGCAGTCCGCCTTTGTTTTCGTGTCTTCGTTCACTTTGAAATAGTTCCACACGTCTCGCCTCGCCTTCTCCCAGCTCTGAACTGCAGCCGGGGCCTGGGGGCGGGCACTTGGCGCTTGTGATTAACCCCTTACTACATGCCGCTCAAACATAGACAGGTCTCAGACCGTGGTATCGGTCCCCGGTATCGGGGGACTTTTAACGAGTACGAGTACTTTAGAAAATGTGGTATCGATGCCGATACCAGATACCGGTATCGGTATCGGTGCATCCCTATTACTGATGGACAGTATCTTCTTTCTGTGTCCTGCAGCTCTATTAGATTAGGAAACCTGAGAAGGTCAAGTGCCAAACAGGAAGCATTTCTCTTTTTCATGTGTCATCAAAGATAACATTTGATTTGCATGGGTGATATCTTTAATTGCTTTTGGGGTGGTCAATGAAGAGAGGCAGCAATTTGAAAAGTTCACTTTGCAAAAATAAAGATGACAGCTGTCATTGTACATTCAGGTGTCTCAAGTAAACAATCTAATATTTATGTAATGAAGGGTCATATTTGACCACAATCTCAATTATTTTGCTTTTTATCAAGCTTTAGAGTCTTTTTGAGTTTTATTACAAGGGCATTGCATTTGCAGTACCTTTTTAATCTTGTGTGATAGCCTTGTAATGCTCTGTTTGTAAATTCAGTTTTAACTTTTTTAGTAGTCAACATTTTGAATAATCACTTTTGTTTTGGAAGTTGTAACAGTACACCAGGGTACCTTCAGTAAGACTAGCATTTAACTTTCACCTGTCACCAGAAAGTGACTCTTACTCAGTTTTATTTTCTTTCAGAAAGAGCCCGAATAGATGTTTTTGTTTCCAGTCTGTATGCTAGGCTAAGCTAACTTGCGGCAGTGTACAGATCTGCAGACAAAAGAGTGGTATCACAGAGTGAGCTACACAGATAACAGTCTTCCTTTAATCCAGGCATGTTTGCCCTTTACAGACTCTTCTCCAGCACAGTGCATTGCCTGAGGTAAAGCAGAATGAATTATCAGTGTTATTTCCAGGGGCTAGTGCAACTCCTATGAAATTATCCTTTTCAGCTTCACAAAGTCATTTCTCCATTGACGGCGCTAATCTGTCCTCATGAATTTCACTGACATAATAAATCAAAATCATTTGCAATACACACACACACAGAGAGAGAGAGAGAGAGAGAGAGAGAGAGAGAGCAGAGGAATCCCAGTCACATTGTTCTTCAGGAAAGGTCATCAGATGTTAATCATGTTTTGCAAGTTAGCATTTCCAACAATTATGGCAAGAAGTAATAAGTAGGTACGTAAAATTGGCTTTAGTTGTTTGCAATTCAGAATGACCTTTGGATGGAGTTGTTCAATAATGTTACAAACTTTTTACCTTCTTCACCTGAGAGCTTCTGTACATGATGGATTGTTTTTTTCCCGTATGTGAACAGCGATTAATAATGAGCATCAAACAAAGGTCACTGTAATATATTTATAATTGCAATAACATAGATGAGGGTTGTTGATACAGTACATCATGTATGACAAACATGATAGATTGCAGTACAGCCGCTGCAAGGTGGGAGATGTCAGGCATGAAAGCTGCCCACCCAATCACTGCATGTTCAAATACCGTACTCGGAATTAAACGTGGATCATTACGAAGTTATCAAACACTGCACTTCCACAAGTGCCTTAGAAAATATACACTAAAAAATATTCCTGAGCCTCATAAAAATGACACAATAATCTTGAGTAAGATATAACTGAAATATATAACATCAAATGTTTATACCTGTATCATTAATCTGGACTGCATTGGTGGTTCTTGCTTTGAATCTAGTCATCTTTCATTTCACCGAGCTTGAAGGATAAACCGCCCGCAGGGGCGTGCTGGGTGTTTTTTTATATACATATATATATATATATATAACATAATGCAAAAACGCATTATGTGCATGTTATATGTTCAGTTTTCTACTCTAATTTATTTGCCATCTTGCAGGAGAAAAATATTATGAATTGCTGAGGCTAACCTCCAGATGTAGAAATCCATCAGAGAGTAGAAATACCTCCCTCCTCTCCAATTGACCATAATGCTAACATAAATCCTTATATATTTCCAGAAATCTGCATTTTACAGCAACACTCTTTGTTATTAAAGGCTGCAGAAACTTCGTATTCTGTGAAAAGTAGGAAGTAAAAAGATGGAAATACAAACTGATTTGGAGGCAGCAATTTCTGGCCAGTCGTCTCTGTCTCACCATCCCCCATCTCATCTGCCATGTTTGCTCTTTAAGAAGGGAAGAAAACACCCCAAAATACTTCAGCTAAGAGTACTTTTGTGAAATAAGAGGCTGCAGCAGTGGTGGGCATGCCATGAAAACCAACTGACACTTAAAAAAATGCAAACTGATCATGTGTTGAAGATATTTTGAGAGTTTATCAGGAAATAAAGTTGTGCATTTTTGTCAGCCTCATTTTGCCCAATTATCATCAGCAAAACCAGTGCCGGATGCATTAAACTGTCTGTGTTACTTTTCAGCTGACAAAAGATTGTCGAGAACCCCCCGCAGGAACCAGCAGCCAAAGACCCTGAATACACCAGAGGACTCCACCTATTACAACCTGATTCATGTAAGTCTAAGAGAAGGCGACGAACGATTTCAGATATTTTCTACAACAAAGCTTTGCCGTCAGCTGCACCTGTAACCGCCTTCCCAGCATCTAGCTTTAATAATGCACTATTGATTGTCAAATTTTACCCTGTAGTAGAGCTCTTTACCACACACCGTATGTTGCCAAGGTGAGAAATATCAGACTATTATGTAGCTGTCTGGAAAAGTATTTTTGTCAATGGAGTGATTTTCTTCAGAAGTTTCCCTTTTGTACTAAAAGTAGTCCCTTTTTATTCAGTGTTTATTGTTAGAAATATTTTAATCATTTTGGTGCACAATAGCACCTGATTGCTGTTTACTGTTCTGTTTGTTCTGTAGTGTAGTAAACACTGCAGATACAATCTATCTAGTCGATAATTAGACTGACGATCTCTTTAGACATTTAGGCATTCAACACTCAAAGCAGCAGAGTTTTACTAAATCGATTACTGTGCTTTCACATTTGCTCAAGTAGTTTTAAAACAGAAGAATTCCGTTAAACTTTAGTGGAATTAATATTTAAACAATATTTCATTTTGCATTGTTGAAAATATGAGAGAACAGCCACTAAAATGGTGGTGCATCCCATTAAAAAGAGACATGTCACAGAAAACCTATGGCTAAGGGGGAAAAAAATCCACTCGCTGGACCCTTTATTAGCTGCTATGCGGTTGGACCCTCTTTTACCTTCAGAATAACCTAAATTCTTCATAACAAAGCTAACTACTGAGTTTAAGTGAGGCTTAGTTGGTACTACAAGGCCCAAAGTGTGCCAAGAAAATGTACAGTGACACCATTATACTATGGTGGATGGAGAGATGTTTTCATGTTGTTTACACCCAGATTTGACCCTGCCATCTGAATAATTCATCAGAAATCATTAGACCAGAAAATGTTTTTTCTTCTGCTGCTGTAGCCCATGTTCTTCAAGTTTCAACATGTTGTGCTTTAAGAGATGCTCTTCTGCATACCTTGATTGCAGCAAATGGGTATTTGAGTTACTGTTGCCTGCTTGATAGTTGTGTGGGAAAATCCCAGCAGATCAGCAGTTTCTGAAATAATCAGACCAGTCTGCCACATTCAAAGTCACTTAAATTACTTTCTTCACCATTCCGATGATCAGTATGGACTTCAGCAGGTTGTGTCTATATGGTGCAATCAAATTGGCTGATTAGATACTTGCATTAATGTGCAGTTTGGCTAGTGGGGGTCTTTTATCTGACGTTTCTCACTGAGTGACTGAAATGCCTCTCATACACATCAGTGACCATCATGCTTCAGTTTAACGCATTATTTCCAAATTGTTGTGTTTTTCTCTAGATTAGTTGATTGTGATTAGTGGTAATGCTCTCCTATAAGATGATATGTCACCGTCTTATACAACAAGATATGCCATCTAGAAACCATGAATATAGAGTGTTTGTGGGTAAATCCATCCAGATATTACTGTTGGCTGTTTGACATTTAATAATCAGTTCTCCATCTCTCTTCATTCAGCGTTCTGTCCAAGATGATAAACGCAAACCCAGGAAAGAGGGGTAAGTGTCCCACTCTTATTTTAACAACCTATTAGTTACTGTTTTATGAGGTTGGCATGCTGCCTCCTTGCTTGCTACTCCTGGGCCATAGTAACAACTACAGCCTGGTGCCGACATAGGGACAGTGCAAGGGCATAGGGTCCAAACTTAATGATCCACAGTGATACACACATCCATAGTTAAATTAATTGCCCTCATCTTTTACCTCTTTACATTGGCTGAATATCATATTCTTAGAGAAATGTAACGTAAGGAATCCCAAATTGGTGGTTTGGTATCATTTATAGGAGTTGTTCTGTGGGTTTCTGCATTATGTGATATGTTTCGAATATACTGGTAAATGTTTTCAGCATTTTTGTTAAAGAAAAGAAAATGAAACCAGAAAGTATCTGTGGATGTGTGCAGTCATGCATATGTATGTGCCGTACAGGCCACAAGGTGAGCATCCCGCACAGAGTGAGGGGTTGAAGATAGACCGATAGCGCTGGCTGAACAAGCAGGGGCCTGGGTACTTTATCACAGCAGTCTGAGGAGACACAGACATGCACACACACACACTGAGCCCCCTTGATGTGGACACACACAATACAACACAGTGCTAGACATCAAGGGTAATAATTTGTTAGCAAATAAATAAAGCCAGCGATGGACAGGCGCAGTTTACATGCATCATTAAGGATGAGAAGGTCAGCAGGAACAATAGTGTCTCTGGCTGAAGCTGACAGCAATTGGGCTTGGGAAATGGGAAAACGTGGGTGGTAGGGATAGAAAGCTGGAGGGTATACTGATGTGATGATAGTAAATGAGAGTGAATACATGAGAAATGGGGAGGGAAAGTGTGATTGCATAGCACAGATATCTATATTTTAGTACCACTATCAGAACTCTGAAATGTACAAGTTGGTTGGTTATTCACCCTATTTCAAGCTTATGAAACCTTATAGGCTTCTCACCACACTGCATTTCAAAAATATGTCTGTAATCGTTGTGCATTCAGTGCATAATTAATTCTGTCATATTATTTGGGACATTTCAAACAAGTCTGCAGCTATAGGTTAATGTATGCCTGTGGCTAATGATATATTGCTACTTTAAGCTAAATACTAAAATGTTGATCTCTGGTAATATTTGCTTAGAGCATTAAAAAGGCCTGTAACCCTATTTTTAAGAAAAAATTGTTATCTAAGTTATTAGAACTCAGGACATTTAGATTTGCCTGCTTCTTGTTGGTATGAAATAGTCTTCCATTTGCTTTTTTCCCCAAGGGGTGATAACATTTTACATTTTACACCACATCTTCCTGAAGCAAACGTCCCTTTTTTCCAGGACTACACTCACATATGACACACTGCGGTTGGATTTCTTGCCAGAAATAAACCAAGGATCTTTTGTGTAAATGGCAAATGTGTTAACCACTACACCACAGACAACTCATAAAAAGCTAACTGTGAGCTAACCTTTTGTGTTCTAAAATGAGGCCAGATTTAGACATTAGCTATTTCTTACCTCATTAGCTTTACTTCTCAGTGTAAGAGAATGTTTACAAAAAAAGCCACCATGTTGATTTTGGTCTCAAATTAGATACCCCACAAGTTGCATTCATCTTGCTCATCAAGCATACAATGCTGGGAAGTCATCCAAAAATGCTTCCGTGTGCATATCAAGGTACTTCACTTGAATCAAATGAATCATTTGTCTAAAACAATTTCACTTTCAGTCTGGAGTGATATATGGCTGTTGCTGTCCCTAAAGCCATGCATGGCTACATAAATCAGTAATGACAACAGTAATTAAAAGTAATCTCTGAAATGTGGTAATACATGTATGTACTTCATGTCTATGTAAATTATATGAGTAAAATCGAGTATAGAAAGGCAGAAATATAAAGTCAACCTTCCCAAAAATGAAAGAAAAAATAGTTTTTAGTCTACCCAGAAGAATTCAAAAGATCCCAGACAAGCCCCCCTTTTTTGTTCTGACCCAGCTTATAAGCCACTTCTTTATTTTGGATTAAGGGCCTTGTAAAATGGCAGAATAGCCACCTAGCTTTAAAAAAAAAGAAAAGAAAGTTTGCTCAGTCACTCCTCAAAGCTTCTCTCACCTTATCAAAGAAACTCAAATGTTTAGTCAACCCAGAAGAATCCAGAAGATCCCGGACGAGCCCCCATTTATTTTCTGACCTGGCTCATTAGCCAGTACAAAAAATGAAGAGTGATTTCAGAGCTTTAGATTACTGAACAATCAAAGTTAAAAATTGAGATGATGCAGTATAAAACAACAGTGAAGACTATATGCTGTACTTATAGTGGCAGGCCTAAGCCGAACCCCAACCCAGGTATACCTTTATCTGGTATGCCTGAATAAGACTCATGCACTGCCACTCCAAGGTCAATAAGGGGTTCAGAAGGGCTTGTTAAATGTGCCATATCTGGTTAGTTCAATGTGGCAGGTGCCTTGAGATATTCAGTCAATTTATGTTGTCATGTTAGTAATGTTTGAGTTGTATATGGCATAAAAAAAGAAAAATCAGTGGATGTTGTAGGGAATGGCAGTACTTCAGCTAGTTAAAACACGACCAGCTATAACCTGAAGTCTTTGTCACAGAGCCATCTTAACAAACAAACTGAACATCTGCATTCCTCTGTGAATTATCTAGTGCTACAAAAACTTAAAAAAAAATTAAAAGCTCTTATATCAGTGGTTCTTAACCTGGGTTCGATCGAACCTTAGGGGTTCGGTGAGTCGGTCTCAGGGGTTCGGCAGAGCCTCAACCGTGATATGCACGGCTCATTTTGTGCACCAGTAAAAAACATATGTATGTCTTGAATTTGAAAAAAATCCTATTTTATTTTTCACTAAAGAGGGGTTCAGTGAATGCGCATATGAAACTGGTGGGGTTCGGTACCTCCAACAAGGTTAAGAACCACTGTCTTATATAATAGATCTAAATCTTGTGCTAGCCATTGTCATTGTGGTTTTTCTTTGTCCGTGCTGTGTCAATCACATAATTGAGCTAATAGTTTAGAGGACAGGAGAGGTAATTATAATCAAGGAGAAAGAATGTATTTCAGCTTTAGAATAGCACATTTATTGTAATTCATCAGTGGGATAATTGTGTGCCAACCCCGCCTCCAAAAGTACAGTGATAAGTTCAGGTCAAGCTTCAAACACATCACAATGTAAGAATGAGATCACTGTACTGGCAGTACTGACTATATATTCTGATAGTGGTTATTACCTTATGTTAACAATGTGTGAGACATATTGATCTGCACATTGAAACTGTCCTTTTCACACTTCTGTTCAAATGGAGGTCAAAGTGACGGCTGAGAGAAGGGCTGCACAGTGCAGATGGACAGTTTACACAGTCTGGTGAGCAGATACCTGGATGATGAGGACTTGATAATTATCCTCTTCTCAATAAGATTTGTCTTCTTTCTGCTGCTCAGTTAATTTTATAGTCACTGCTATCACAGAGACAAATTTTAAAGATGTGAAATCAGCTGGTGAATTAACTTGGGGAAAATATTTTTTCTCCTTTTCTACAATAAAGAAATAGTTATGTTGATGCCAGCATTTAGTGGCTTCTAAAAGAAAAAAAATCACAAAAAGCAGAAGATCATGAGTATCTCAAAGACCTGCTTATAGACGAAGAAAGTTAGAAAAAACAACAGCTCTGCATGTGAGCAGAATAGCTAAACCCTCGGTTTATGAGGGGCAACCAGTCAAAGGAAAGTTAGCCTAAAGGGGAGTGGCCTTAAAGGAGATGTTTTGACTTGTTTTAGACAGGAAGCAAAGAGCTTCACAAGAGTCAAGTATAAGAAAAAAAAGTATTATTTTTGAAGTCTGATTCATGCAGAGCAGCTTCAGTCGAGTCAAAATTAAAAATTTGAGTATGAAATGAGCACATATGGTCCCCTTTAAAGAGTTGCTGAGGTAGCTGCATTGAAGTCCATATAGCCAACCTGCGCCTGCTCCTAATTTTAAAATAAAAACTTGAATAGAGTTTTATCTGACCTTAAACAAATGACTTTATAATCAGATTTGAACGTAAAGTAAGAAAAACATAACGAGAGGAAAAGCACTTAACTTCGATCAAAATCTACTATTGAGGTTATTGTGTTTATGAGAAATGCGTTGTATTGATTTTACAGCATTCGTGTCTGGTTTCAGTCACACCTGTCCTCTATTTGCATCCGGAGAACCTGTTTAAAGACTGTTTGATGACACTCTAATGTCTGTCTGACCCCGTCCTCTTATTTTTGCTGTAGCTCAGGGAAACTGTTGGATGTGGATGACCACTACTACCCAGCCCTCTCTACCAGCCGTTCTGAACCCTCCATGTCCAAAGAGAACACATCATCCATGCCTGAGAGGAAGCAATCTATAGGGAGGAGGCAGTCAGTGGAAAGGAGGCGGTCCGTAGAGAGGAAGCAGTCCATGGACAGGAGACGATCTATGGATAGAAGGCAGTTTGGGGACAGGAGGCAGTCTGTAGAGCAGAGACTGACTGCTCCCAGTCGACAGATCCGAGAGAGGGCCGCCACTGAACCGGAGCGTCCCAAATCTGCCAAAGAAAACAGGTGTGTCTTTTTAGTCCTCTTCATAGTGTCTCTGGCAATAAGTACATCTCCTATAAAGTGTCCCTGTATTTTTGTGAAACTGTGCATGACTGCATTAATTACTTGTTTCTGCTTTTTTAATAATAACAACTGTAGACCTTCAGCTAGGTTTCAGCTGCAACATGAACCAACCCCATTCAAAGCACCTGAGAGATAACTTTCAGCTATGTTGTAATCAGCACCATCAATAAGCTTCAACAAGGTGGAACCACTTTTAAGCTGGAAATCAGTTTCCACTTTTTATGATGCCATTTTAATCTTTGTCAATACCAACCACGAGGTCCCATTATGATATTTTTGGGATTGTTTTTCCAACCATCTTGTCATCATTTCCATCGACTCGCATTATGTGAAACAGATGAAAGATAGGTAATGGCCTTCAGGATTTTTGTCCAGCTGACCGCTTTGTTACCGTCTGCACGTACAATTTATTACAGTTCAGCTTTACTGATTCACAAATATAGTCACAAGTTACATTGTTAATGTTTGCTAACTGAATTTGTTACGTTTCTACTTCAGTATAATAATGATACTACTGTTGCTACTGTTTAAAAATAAATGTAATCTCAGTGAATTTGGATGATTTGTAAAGTCAAACCTTAGTTTACAGAAAGAGGGAAAAATCATTATCTACATAACCATAATAAGACAAAGCTATACAGGCTGTATATGAAAGATGGAAGTTCTCACCATGATATCACCCACTGAAGCCACTTCTGAAGCATCTTGGCTCCATCTTGGATTTAAGAGACAGATCTGATCGTATTTTAATGAGGCTGGAGTACTAAGCTAGCAGCTAATGTTGGCTAGCTGGTAAGGCTATAGTTACAGTAAGGAAAATAGTGGTTAGAGACCATGGCATGCTACAATTTTATTGCAACTGTATACAGTAAACTTTGTAGTTTTGAAAGTCTTCACAGCAAGTCTATGAAAACTCAGTCATTTTCTTCAAAGTGACTTTGCTGCTTTAAAGATGAAGTCAGTCTGCTGAATAAGGTCAAGTAAATAATTACACGCAGTGTGTTTATGATAATAAGGAAAATTGCTGTTATTCGTTGCTAATCTGTTGCAGTCTACACATTCAACAGACGTTCGCATAAATTACTTATATTCATAGTCCAGTCAGAACCTCACAGATATAAGACAGAAATTCTGAAATTCCTTCACAAATAGTGATGTAGTTGTCTCTTGTCTTTAATTCTAACGTTGTGCTTGAATGTATAGGCACAGTGCACAGATATCAACTAATTAGTGCTTTGTAACATGCAAATAAAATACCAGACTTTAACTCATCACAAGCGTAGACTTGGAGAGTTTGTATCACTTAGCTGGTCAAATAATTTCATCATAAAGGCTACAAAAGGCAGAAACACCACAAACATAGTCAAGACTTCCAGTTCAGTGACTTTAATTAGCTGAGGTGAAGCCTAGCAGACAGATTAGCAGCCTAGCCTGCATCCACCTGTCACTCAAACCAGTCTCACCCATAATAACGCATGGTTTTAAGCCTTGACTAAATTTAATTTGCTGATTCATAATAAAAATTTCACTCCACAATAAAGTTTTTGTGAAGAGGTCAATTATCTGCAGAGCCAACAACTGGGCTGTAAACATGTTTATTTTTACAGAAAGTTGTTCAGTTTAACATGAGCTTACTGCAGTCTGCCTCAAGTGCAGAACTGCAGCTTTTGGGACTTCAACTTTCTTTTATTTTTCAGCGCTATTCTGCTGCCTGTCACTAAAAGATATTATTAAAGATTCTTCAGATCTGGACTACAAATCAGCTACTTGATTTGTAGTTTTAGTCTGGCCACATCCTTATTCCATAATAGGACTCGTGAGGTACCAGCACCTCTGTTTATGAGTCTGGTTTTTGAATCTTAGTTTTTACTTGCTCGAAGGATAAATTCATACATGAATTTAATCTATTTTCCCTTCAGCTTGGCCTCTCCCTTGGACAGCTCATGATAAATGGCCCAAATATGATAACCAGTATGAAAACCTTGAACCCTGAACATGAATCTTTTCATCTCCTTTCCATTTAATTTTGTTTGTTTGTTTGTTTACATTCCCACGTCCTACCTTGTGTTCAACATTTCTGTTTTTATCTACTTGTGCTGCAATTTGTCTCCTTTGTGTGATCGACAGACGCTCTGTTCCCAGAATGACTTCCACAGAGAGCCGGACTGAAGAGAATCCATACGACTTCAGACATCTACTGAGGAAGACCTCGCAGAGACAAAGGCTGATCAAACATTACTGAATACAGGAAGTGACTTTTGGCTATTCGGGACTTGATCGGTCGGGATCGCTGATCGCACCATGTGGCAGTTTGTTCTGGTGTCCTGCTAACCACAGCACATGTTTCATTTATTTTATTGATCTTCAGACACATTGTACAACAGTTTGGGTAGGAAATGAAACTCCTCTGGACTTAACTGGACAGACTGTATTGATTTCCATGCATACAGTGAACACAGAGCACAGTCAATGTAAATAACAAGATGTCATACTTTTAAACTTGCTGTAAAATAAGGTTTTATTCATGAGACCAACAGTTTAGTTACTGGTATTCTGTATTTCCAATGTTTTTTCTTCGATATCTTTATTTTCTTTCAAAAAATTTGCAGGTTGTGCTCTTAAAACTTTGCATTTCAAGTCATTCCGAAGTCTAATCAGCTTCATATTGTGAAGAATGTACATTATTTTATCTGCTCAAATGTTCAGTTTGTTCACTTAAACAAAAAAATATATTAAATTCCTCGTCCCATTTCATTATTTTTAGTTCGCTGCTCTCAAATTAGCCGAAATCGCAAACTTTTCATAACCGTGCAAAATGAATAACGTAGAAGGAAAAATGCAAAGACATTCAGTGTTTCATTGCCTGTGTGTATAAAGTACATCAATTCCTCGCATTATCCTCCATCCCGCGTTATTGTTGCTTTGTGCGCAATAATCACTACATTTGAAATAGCATTCACTCAAATGACAGCCTTTGATTCTTGTGAATATTTGGTGGAAAAGTAAGAAGGACAGAATGTTTTTTATTTATGTATTTATTTGAATATTGATGCCAGATTCAACCTCTGACCTTTATGTGACATTTTTGAAAGAGAAGCCCCCCTTGGGGGCTGTTAGTGAATCCCCAGCTACATGCTGACTGCACACAGTGCACAGTGGCATAAAAACACGTAGGGCTGAAGAAATACTGACAAAATGCAGACTACGGAAGAAAAACTGTTACAGCTTCCTTCACACACAGGATTCACAGACAAATTATTTAAAATAAAGAAATATTACAAAATGTTACACCAAGTTTGAACAAAGAAAAAAAACTCGGAAATGGCACAATAGAGTGATCTCATAACACACTGAGTGTGTGTGTGTGTGTGTGTGTGTGTGTGTGTGTGTGTGTGTATATATATATATTTTTTTTTTTTTTTTTTTTTTTAAAGGGTTCAGTTTATGTTAATGAGGCTTTTTGGGTATTAGATAACTGTTGACCAGTGCATTTATAAATCACTGCAGATGGGGCTCAGTGTCGCTTTGATGCCTGCAGGGTTAATTTACACTAATTCGTGGAGACAGAAGGTGACAGTGTTGGAGTTCCACGTGGTGATTTGTAACTAGATATTGTAAGTAACATAAAATGTTATTTCTGTAGCACCTTTGCAGACAAACACACACTGCTTCACAACACAATACCAGAGCAAAGAAAAACAGAGTTAATGTTGTCTTTAACTATTCCCATTTGTTTTCCTCCTTGTATCCGGATATTTTGACGCAGTTAAACTACAGATTTAACGGCTTAACTTTATTTTGGATGGGGTGGGTGGAGGGAGGTGTCTCAAAATCAGACAAAAAAAAAACACTTTGTGAGTAAAGAAAGTAAAGCAAGCCCCTCTCTCGGTAATAAATATTGTCGGAGTAACGCGCCCCTGGAGTGAGCGGAGAGAGGAGGGACCCACGAACACTCTGTGCATTTGAACCGAGTCCCCTCTCCGCCCCGCTGTCTCCTCCACCGGAGGCGGGCAATTAGAGGTCTGAAAAAATAGGTCTGCGATTGCTGGGCAGATGAATTAGTTGGCGTTCAGTGTCTGTATGGAGGGTAAGTTCTGTGCGCAGGGGGCCAAAAATGTCGGGGATGTATGGAGTCACGACGCACGACGCAGCGCGGCTCGTCATGACCTGAAGTGAATCACCACGGGATTGCTTTAGTGACGTGAAATTTAGGTTGGCTGCAATTAGGCATGGCTTGTGCGCCGCATATTTACCAGCAGCTGTAGCCTCATAGCTGCTTTTTCCCCCTCCACCATTTTCATCACCATTTTCTTTTTGCTTATTGTTTTTCTCTGAGTCATTTTTTATATAATGTAGCAGCTTTGCATCAAAAGACATTTCACTACATCCGGAACTTGCGCAAACTATCTTGCGCTGTATTGCATTTTTCCCCCTATTAAGTAAAGAGCGTGGCTGCTCTGCGACGGTCAAGTGTTTGCGGATTTCTTTCTGGACACGGCGCTTCATGCTTCGTGCACCTGTGGACGCCTGCAAAGGAGGAAGCGAGGACGCCTTTTGTGATTTCTTTTTTTTTTTTTTACCCACCCCACGCTCACACACGCACTTACGAGGGTCGGTTTATTTGTAGTGTCTTTCCAGCGAATTAAAGCGTCTGTCGGATGCACGGCTGGATTTCAAGCAGTCTGAAAGGTCTGGTCAGATTCAGCACCACATCGGCTCTGAACAGCTCCCGGTCGTCGCGTGTGGATGGGCTCTGTCGGTCTCCGCGCCTCCTGCAGCTCCTAACTACCGGCAACAATGGCATCACACGGGTTCTGGTCTCTTGGCGGAGATAATGCCGGGGCCAATACCGGGAGTCAGAGCCCGAGTACGCGTGAGTGGCTTTTTGTCTTCAAACCACATCCTGATGGACCGGGCGCAGTAATTCCTGAGCGTTGTCTCAAGCCAGTGCCCTGCATTCACCGAACCACCAGACAGGCCTTATAATAGGCAACAATCCTGCTTTCTTTTTTTTTTTTTTTTTGCTTCTTTCTTTCTTCTTTTTCTCCACATGAGACATTTTCCGTGTATCTAAAGAGCTGTTTTATTCCAAGTTGCATGGCGCCTTTTGTGTTTCCCTAAACTTGGACTGAAGCTGAAGCCAGCACATCCCTTATCTGATTTATCCCACTTCTCTCTTTCAGCCAGGGCTTGGTGCCAAGCAGCGGCCCAGAAATTATCCGGAGGAATTGGATCGAAATTATGTGGTATGTTGGGGAAGGAGCGGGGGTGGGGGTGGAGACGGAGGGGAAGCTATTTTTAGGCAAACGTGCCAGCTATTTCCATCATAACTGTCTGGCCCTAGAGTAATAAAAATATATATTTCGATGCTATTTTTTGTGGGTTTCCAAAGCGCTGCTAAATGTCGGGGAGGTGGAGAAAGCCGCCGAGCCGGGCGCCAAGCAGCCGCCAGAGACGGCTGCAGGAACCTGCGGCTGCAACAAATCCTGCAACTGCACCAAAGCTGCTGTGGGCTTCTCCGACCTCTATTCAACAGGTACGAAAGTGCACTGTGAAGCTGGATTAATTTTAAGATTTATTTTCGCCCCCGAGTCCAGACTTGGCTTTACATTGAGCAGTTTTCACTGTGCGAAGTAGGCTAGAAAATAGACATTGTTTATATGCAATATTTGTATATAATCGTCTTAACTATAAAAGGAAATAATCTCAAAATGCTTCTCAAATATTTGCATCTGATCGCACAAACTCCTGAGAAATGTTTGGCTGAAGTTATCCGCTTTAATCTCAATTTATAAAATAACACATGTGTATTGGATGAATAGTTTTGTCCATCATTTTCATTTTTTCACCACATTCTGAAACAGGAGTTATGTTGGTCTGTTCTCCTCAGAGAGGGGCTATTTCCGAGAGGTCACCTTCACCAGAATCGTGTGTTTTGAGGTGTTGAGCGCAAAACACGAGATTTTCGTATAAAGCAGAATCAGTGTTCGGACGTGGAAACAATATGAAATGTTTATTTGTTTGTATGGAGGAAAAATTCAAAGACAAAAAAATAAATAAAACTTTGACTCGTGTAAATATGAATCTTAATATTGCGTGGGAGCATTTTTTTGCACACATTCCTCCGTCCTCAAATAAAAATCACAAAATGTCTCCACTGTAATCCACCCCCCCCTCTCGCAGACCTGTTACCGGCCACGGACGGTGATACCAAAACGATGACCTTCCTGCAGGAAGTTGTGGATATTTTACTGGCCTACATAGTGGAGTCTTTCGACCGGGAAACGAAAGTTATTGATTTTCATTATCCGAACGAGCTGCTTCAGATGAACAACTGGGAGCTGCAGGACGAACCTGCGACTCTGGACGACATCTTGATCAGCTGTCGCGCTACATTGAAATACGCCATCAAAACAGGTAGGCCTGGGTATGATTTTATTGCATGCATGCAAATCAATAAATTCACTTTTTAATATACATATATGTTTATTTAAAAAAAATAGATGCTTCGGAGTGTTGGAAAAAATTCCCCCCTAGGCTGTATCATCACGCGCAGGCCTGAATCCCGGCCTTTCGCTCATCTTTGTGTGAAATCTGCCAAAATTCCAATATTCACGCATATAAATGGCAAATTAAAAACACGTTTACAATAAAATAAAAAGAAAAGCTATATAAACTACAGAGAGCCACTGTGAAAATTATGTTACACCCTACAAATTATTTAAAACTCGAGTTACTGCAAAACTAAACTGGAAACACGAAAGCGGTAAGCTTAAAAAACCGACCCGGAAAGAGAGAGGCAAACAAAGAAAACGTCTTTAACGTGTTCCGGGTTTAATAAATAAATAAATAAAATGATAAATGATGCCTATAAAGCATCAACACAGTTGTCCTCCTTTTCCTCCTCCTGACCACCAGACCGATAAATGCAGTGACGCAGTAAATCTGGTTCACCAAGTAGGAGATAATAGGCTAATAACCAGGCTTCATAGGCCAAGTCCATTATTCTCCCCTGAGTGACACACGCAGGGGGGGATTTACAGCAACGCCACAGGACAGATTTCAGCCTCCAAAAAAAAGACAGAGAAAAACTGAAAAAATAGTTTATGGTGGTGATGAATATTTAACAACCTTAAAAACAATTAAAATCACACTGTAATGCGGATATGAGCAAAGATGTGAGGATTTCAATCATTTATTTTAACCATTTATCAGCAATTTTCCTCTGCTACGAGAAAAATGTTTATTATTATTATTTAGGAATTATATGGTGTTGAGAAGGACTTGCACCAGATTTATAAGTACAGTTATATCTTCCTTCCTTTGTCTTTTTTCTTTCTTTCTTTCTTTCTTTCTTTCTTTCTTTCTTTCTTTCTTTCTTTCTTTTTTTGCTTGATCACCCCCATAAATTACTCTTTATTTTAACGCCCGTGTTTATGACGCACACTGAGATCTAATCACGTGTCAGTGCCGTAGCATGGTTTGTGTGTTTACCTTTTACATTACACCAAATGTTCTCATCATTTGGTGTTTTCATTCAGGTGGGGTTTTTTTTAGTTGACTCTGCAGCTACAATTCTAACCCGCAATTAAAGCGCTCAGAAGATGACAGCTTCTGCTCGCTAAGGAAAACCTTAAAATTGCAGCCATCTCACACTCCTCCTCTTTGCCTTCTCGATCCTCTGCTCCTTTCCCTTCAGCCCACCCCAGGTACTTCAATCAGCTCTCCACGGGATTA